GCTCCCACGTTGCATGTTGTCTTTAGGGTTACGTGACCCCTTACTTACACATGTTCACCTAACAATCCTACTAATGAACCTTGGAACACCTTGATGTTATTGGGATCAAGTTGGAGTTTTTGGAAAGTGTTATAGAATAGGATGTCAACTGGGCTTTTAGGGTCTATCAAGACTTGCTTGATATTCCAGTTGTCGTGTTGCACAGTGATGACCATGGGGTCGTTATTGTTAGGGAGGATTATGATGGCATCATTGCTGGAAAAAGTGACATAGCTCTCTCTGGTCAACTTTGAAGTACCTTGGAGATATTACATTCGAAGTCAGCACCAACGTGACATATTTTCTACAGGGAGAGCTAGAACTCCCTTCGTTGGTGAAACTCTGGTAATGGTGTTAACCGTGGACTTTGGATCTTTGTTAGCCAATTTCAAGATGAACATCTTTTCTCACGTTTTAATTAGCCTGTTGACGTAAATTAGCATGCTTTAGAAAGGCGTAGATTAGCCTGTTGACTCTATCTCTGACTGAGAAATATATTTTCCTATATTTTCCATGACTAGGTGAATAAGAAGCGCTCGAGACGATATAATCCCTAACCACTGACGGCGTATGAAAGTCGCCTCAAATAGACATTTAAAATCTTCCTCCCTTAAAAGTCAATTTTACAAATATATTACTACATCAATAAATAAAATTAATCAATGTCTTTGACAAATTTATTTCATTTCTCAGTCTCCTAACAAAAACTTTAAAGAGACATTTATTTTTAAACTAAAATAAAAGAGTGTTATAAAATAAAAATAAAAAGTTTGTTTCTTCCTCTTTTCACTTTCTTTCCTATTAAGCTAAAGAAGACGGGCACTTCTTGGTTGACTTGAAACCACCTTATCTCTTTTTTTAAACCACAAATAATTGCCATCTCTTTCTTCTTTCTCTTCCTGTGTAACTCACACCTCATCTTTTATTGTTCCTCTTTTTTCATACCTTTTCAGTGATTCATATTCAACTATTTGTTTTTTCCATGAAGTCTTAAACCACCTCACTAAGTTTTGTTCTTCAAACAGGTACTAGTATTTACTTTACTAAACTTGTTTGTATTGTAATAATTTCAAAAGGGTAATGAAGTTACACTTGCAACAAAATGGTTTCATTCAAACAGAAAATGAAAATAGAGATTTGATAATTCACATGGAAACCATGTTACAAACTGTTGAACTTCCCTTCGTTTCACGTTGTTGTATATACAAAGTACCTCAAAAAATCCGAAAACTCAACCAAGAAGCCTATACTCCAACCATTCTTTCCATTGGTCCATTTCACTATGGAGACAAGAGGTTAGAATCAATGGAAGATCTCAAATTGAGGTACCTCAAGAGTTTCCTTGAAAGAACTCAAAAGGGTTTAGGAGATTGCATTCAATACATCAAAAAATCAGAAGAGATCATTAGGTCTTGTTACTCAGAAGCCGCTGAACAAACCAGTGATGATTTTGCTAAGATTATTTTAACCGATGCTTGTTTCATAATCGAGTATTTTCTTCGGTCGCTAGAGTGGCCACAAGAAGATCCTTTGTTATCCAAACCATGGTTGAGGTGTGATGTGAAGCTTGATCTCATATTACTTGAAAATCAGCTTCCTTGGTTTGTTCTTGAGGACTTGTTTAACCTGACAGAACCTAGTTGCTTCGAGGGTAAGGTTTCTTCGTTTTTCGATGTTGCTTTTCACTATTTTAGGGTCCATTTCCTGCAGATTGTATTGCCTAATGAAACAAGTAACAGCAAGTTCACTATCCAATACTTTCTTGAACACTATGAACAATATATAATGAAACCTGATCAAGTTAGTATGCAATTACATAACCTCACCGATCTGTTACGAGTGTTTTACTTGCCACCCGACATGTTACCGAAGAGGGAAAAACAAACGGTGAAACATCTATATAGCACGAGCCGGTTGATAGAATCCGGTGTAAAACTCAATGTTGGTCAAGATTACCAAAGTGTACTTGAGTTAAAATTCTCAAAGGGTGCGCTTACGATACCAAGATTCGAAGTTTGTCACTGGACTGAGACTCTTTTGAGGAACGTGGTTGCGTTCGAGCAATGCCATTATCCGTTTCAGACTTATGTAACGGATTACACGATTCTCTTGGATTTTCTGATTGATACAAGTCAGGATGTTGATAAACTTGTTGACAAGGGAATAATGATTAACACGTTGGGTGATAGCAATGCGGTTGCTAAAATGATTAACAATCTTTGTGTTAATGTTGTTCAGGAAAATATCAACAGCGATTATGTTTCGTTATGCAGAAAATTGAATTGCTTCTATGAGGACCCTTCTCATAAATATAAGGCAATTTTTATACATGACTACTTCAGCACTCCTTGGAAGATAACATCTTTTGTTGCTGCAATTGTTCTACTTTTGCTTACTCTAGTTCAAGCCATATGTTCTGTCATTTCATTGTTTTAGGTTTAATTCTTGTACTCTTCATTCTTCGATAATATTGTTGTTATCTTCAGCTTTTGATTTAATGTTCCACTGATATATAAAACAAACAACATTTGAGCAATGATGCCTTTCTGATGATGCATCAGTTCATGCACAAGCTTAACCTTTCAAGAAATTTGATACATATCAGATTGCATCTCTATTATCTTTTGTTTTCATCAAACTATGGAATCTTTAACATTAAACAACTGAAATTGTTGAGAAATGACACTGAAGCAACTAAAACTAGTGTAGATGCAGGGTGTATTGCAGATAGGGGATTAGTTTCCAAAACCAATACAATGAAATGTTGCTTTCTGTTTGCAGGTTGGAAGATATGGTTATGTAACATGCCTTAACCGAGGCCTTGGGAGTGAAATAGGGACTCCTAGTTGATTTGCTTATTGAAGCTAATGCATCTGGTTTTGTTGAATGTTAGAATTTAAATTATGCTCTTTCCACAATGGACACAATAGTTCAAGATTATATGTTACTTATGCACCACTTTGAGAAAGTGCTTGTCAACACAATGTTAAGACTCATAATTTGGTAGGATTGTTTGGCACTAGAACTTGATAGGAGAATGCACCAAATCAAGCTATTCAATCTTTTTGTACTGACTAGTGTTAATTTTTTTCCAAAAAAAATTGTAATAATAAAATGTAAAATAAATAAGTGAATTGGAGATTCGGGGTATTAATTCTCATATCTCTCACATGTTAAGTAAGCGCTCTACCATCTAAACTACATTCCCGTATATGATGATAGTGTTGTAAATAGTAGAATTACATGTAAATTTAGTTTCTCTGTTTTTATTTTATCCTTATTTTAAAAATTAATTATTTAGTCTCTTAATTTAATATTTTAAAGATTTTAGTCATCCATTTCATTTAAGTCTCATTTTTTTATGATGTGGCAGAATAATCGATGATATGGGTTAAGTGATATTAGTTAATTTACATGTCGTTGTATATTTAATATAAAATGATCATATTTAAATAAAAATACAAAATTGTAATAAATGGAAATGAAAATTAAGTAATCACATTTGTCATAGGCATAAACACTTATAAACATTTAGCTTATGTTTGAATATCTTAAAATAAACTGAACATAATATAAACAAATGAAATGGAATTGAGTGAAATAAAGATTTCATTTCATCGTTTTGATATTTTACGACTGATGAGAAGAAATATTATAGTAAATGACGAAATGAAATAGAATTAATATCACTTAAATTTGTTCCGCCTCATCTAATTTTAAATAATTTAAACAATAGAGTTTATTTTTATTCCATATGATATCATATCATATTTCATATATTCAAAAAATGCCTAAATTGATTTTCTTGTAGATGTTTGTCATCTCTAACCCAGAAATCAGATTTTCTTATCAAATCAACATAGACTTGGAGAGATAACGTTTACAAGAAGATGACATGTCATGTCTTCTGTATCTCCCTATCTTGACTATATAGTTGTTACCAAAGATTAAGGAATGGATTTATTGGCCGACCTACTTGGATCAGACTCAAAGAAGGCCTATACAAAATTTGAAAAGACCAGGGGATCTCATGCTCGATTCAACTTCCTCATAGGAGATTTGGACATACACATGTTTATCTGAATCATCGCGATACAAGAAAGACTTAATATTTGGTTAGTATAGTAACAAGTACGGACCAAGTTAGATGCTAATTTGGTCAGAGCTATTTGTTCAAGCTTGATTCATTCCAAGACTTTTGACGAGATTGTGGCGTGCATGATTGAGTTCGATGAAGAAATAATTGTTGTATTTATAATCTTGTTTATATTTAAATTGATATTGGCATGGAACATATTGTTGAATTTCAACGGCTTAAGTGAAGTTTTCCAATTCATTGTATTTGTTTATTTATTCAACAAATTCATATTTTAGAATCTAAAGACTTAAAAACACAATTCAAGAATTTTTTTTTTTAATTCAAGAATTTTTGAGAGATTTCAAGAGGTAGGGTATAAACTTAGCATATTCTCATTTTTTTTCTCTTTCTATAGCAGGTTGTTTCTTCTACATCTATATAATCTTAGCACCTCTTCTACCCCTTTATCAGAACCCTACTAGAAAGAGTTTATCCTATTTTGAATATTCTTCTCAAAAAAGTAGTTATAATGGAGTGTTTATTTAAGTACATACACATAGTACCCACTTAATATTAAAAAGAAAATGAATATCTTCATTCATGATGCTTTAGGAAAGTAAATTACAAACCATGGTTTGATTGGAAGAGAAAAAAAAGCATATTTATTATGGAGCCCACTTGGAAGATTGGCATGGACCATTCACCATTCATTCCAATTATCATAGAAATTACATATTAATTAATCAAATAAGTGCAAGCAAACTTCTATGAAAGTGCAGTAAACTCAAGTCTTGGTCAACTCAGTAATTTCCATTTCCTTCCTCCACTTGCCTTCATACATATATGATTATGATAATAAGAAACCAATGAATCAGATCAAAACATGGTTGGAGGGTTAGTTGGAGACAACATAGGATTGAATGAAGAGGTTATCAAGAAGACATGTAGTTTGTCTTTCAAAGCTCACAAGTCAGCAAAGGAACTTTATATTTCTGAAACTTTTAAGACATCCTCGGAATCAGCAGCATATCTTGTCATAAGCTTTCCTGGATCATGGGTTCAAACTGACTGGTTTGTTACAAAACCTTTTGGAGAAACTAAAATAGATCTTGCTCACTTCCCTTTACTTAAAAGTGTTGGTAATGATGAAACTGCTTTGGTAAACCAAACTTTCTTAAACAGATTCGACCGATTATTCAAATTCTCCTCGATTATATCCGAGGTAAGGTACTACTCGCTACAATGAAATGAAATTGTTGTTGAACTAGCTATCTAATTTGATGTGAAATTTTTGTGTTGCATTGCAGGTGAAGAAAGGTATGGCAGAAGGGAAGCAAGTAGTGTTTACAGGTCATTCTTCAGGGGCTGTTTTGGCCATTCTTGTAACATTTTGGGCCTTGGAAGAGAATCTTAACCAAACTCAGCTTAAGCCACCCATGTGTGTCACTTTTGGTTCTCCTTTGGTTGGGAATCATATATTCTCTCATGCTTCAAACAGACAAAACTGGTCTCGTCGCTTCATACACTTTGTCATGAGATATGACATAGTGCCGAGGATTTTTCTTGCTCCTTTTTCTAGTATTGAAAAACTTTTTAGTCCTGTTCTTCAACTTTTGACTCCTGACAACGACAACTTCGAATCTCAGGATTCAATAAGAGATAGTGTGAGTTGTGAATTTTACTCCACAGTGATGAGGAATGCAGCAACTGTTACAAGGCACGTTGCTTGTAATCTAATGGGAAGCACGAATTTGTTGCTGGAGACTATGACAAACTTTGTTGAGTTAAGCCCTTATAGACCCTTTGGAACTTACATTTTCTGCAATGGTAATGGCCAGTTGATTGTGGTAAATAACTCAGAGGCAGTTTTACAACTCATGTTTCACATTGCTCAGTTAAAAGATTCAACACAACTTTCTGAAGTTGCCAACAAAAGCATACTGCAACATCTAGTCTATGAAGCTGAATTAGAGGAAAGTTTGGCAATGCAAAATGTGGTGTACTTAAACAAACTTGATGACCTTCCTTTGTCTTCTGGTGATGCTCCTAATACCGACGTTGCAGCCGCCTTGGATAGCCTTGGACTGGTCAGTAATTTTTTCTCTCTTACAATAACATGATCTCACTAGATATGTCTTTCAATATAACGGATCTTATATTTCTAACATAAAGTTAGATTAAGTATTTTGGCTAGCTGATATATGATTGTGTGCGAGATGATTTGTTTTTGCTGAAACTGATCTCAGAGCGTAAGAGCGCGGCTGTGTCTTAGAGCAGCTGGTGAGTTAGAAAAGAAAAAAGAAAGAAATGAGGAGAAAATAAAAAAGGAGATTCAAGAGAAGGCTGTGCCAAGCATGAGGGATTTGGAAGAGTACAGAGCAACATGTGAGATAAACAAAGGAAAAGGTTATTATGATGCCTTCAAGGTGCAAAAGGAGGGAAAGGATTTCCAAGCAAACGTGAAGAGGCTCGTGCTCGCAGGAGTATGGGATGAGATCATTGAAATGCTCAAGAGGTATGAACTGCCAGACGTGTTTGAAGGAAAAAAAGAATGGATTGAACTCGGAACCTGGTTCCGTCGTCTTGTTGAGCCTCTAGATATTGCCAATTATTACGGTCATTTGAAGAATGAGGACACAGGTCCTTACATGAACAAGGCTAGGCCAAAGAGGTATAGGTATACTCAGAGATGGTTGGAACATGCTAACAGGTTGTCAAAAGAAGATATCACAGAATCCACCTTTTGGGCTGAGGTGGAGGAGCTTTGCAGCTGGATTAGTAAGAATAAACCATTTGAAGATGTTAAGGAAAGGGTTCTCAATCTTGAGCATGATATTAAAAATTGGACTGATAAAGGGATACTAACCAAGGATGTGTTCTCAAAGGATCCTACCTTCATAAAGTTATGGGAAACTCTACCTCATGAACACAAATCCACATCCTGCATCTCTACTCTCTTTACTGTTAAACGATAAATCACCTACCTTTGTATTGGCATGACTTGTGATTATCATCCACACTATTGTACTTAATCATAAATTAGTTTCATGTTAGAACATTATAATTCAGTATCTTCCACTCAAAATATGAAATTCCAGAATGAACCAAGTGGTTGCATTTGAGCAATGTCAGTATCCGATTTAGACTTAGATAACAAATATCAATGGTGGTTATGCAGGAAATTGAATTGCTTTTATGAGAACCCTTGTCATAAATATAATGCAAAATAACACATAGAGTGGAGATGCGGGGTATCGATCCCCGTACCTCTCGCATGCTAAGCGAGCGCTCTACCATCTGAGCTACATCCCCATATGTGTTTTAGTGATTCTAGCTGCCGTTGTGCTACTTTTACATACTCTTATTCAAGCCACATTATCCAAAGAAAAATAATACAAAATAAAACTTAAATTGGAGATGCGGGGTATCGATCCCCGTACCTCTCGCATGCTAAGCGAGCGCTCTACCATCTGAGCTACATCCCCATTTATGTTCTATTGACTGTAGCTGTTGTTGTCCTACTTTTGCATACTCTTATTCAAGTCACATTATCCAAAAAATAATACAAAATAAAACATAAATTGGAAATGTGGTGTAGCAATCCCTGTACCTCTCGCATGCTAAGCGAACGCTCTACCATCTAAGCTAAATCCTCATATATGTTTTAGTGACGGTAGTTTATTACTAGATTTTGATCCTATAACTAGCTGCTTTGACTTGCTATCTAAGAGACTAACCTCGAGAGATAGGAAAGGCGCTCTCTCTAAAGGGATACTAAAGAAAAGGCAAGTCGGTGTCTGGATTGACAATTTGATGTTGCAAGATCGGTTATTAAAAGACTAAAACCCACCTTCAAGCTAAAAATGTAGTTGTATTTATTACTTATTATTTCTTCTTCTACCATACCCAAGAGTCATTCACTCCCTACAGAAATTTGAGAAGAGACTAAGATAAGAATTGTTAAGGATTTAACGAAAATAAGTTTATAGTAAGTGTGCCGCTAATTGACAAGTCTCCCCAACTCAATTTTTCACTCGAAAACCGCTAGCATAATGATGAGCCTTGGGCCCCATTTCCTAAGAACATAATGAGTGTTTAGATATTGTACCTTTAGGTGCGTGCATGAGCAAGGATGAAGGAAGAACAAGTCACAGGAGAAGCTTTAAGATCCTGCAACTTAGCTTCTAAAAAAAGCACCAGCAAACAGAGGTAGATACAAAGCCATAGACAAACATTCATGATCAATAGTCTTTTTTATTTATGAAAACGAACCTCGTGCTCGAAAGGCGGATACAAAGCTAGTCGCTTAGTCAGGTGGATACTTCAGTGTAGCATAGTGGCATACCTCTTTGATCTAAATGAAAAAGAGATCTATTGAAACCCATCATAATTCTCCGAGAGACATTTGTGAATACTTATTTACCATAAACAAAAGCGGTTACCGAGGTGAAGGCAAATAAGGTTCTGTTCCATGGAAGGAAAAATAAATGGAAATAAAAATAAAAAAATATCTAAGCAAATATTTTGCTTTCTTTGTTGAATGATTAGAATAAGTCAAATACAGTGTAATTGGTTTTGAAGTGTTTTTGGAGAATAGCTTATTTGAGAAGCTATTTTGGAAAAGTTGCCAGTATGCTGCAGGAAACCCTGTTTTGTTACTTTGTTTAGTGTTAGCAGACACTATATATACATTTTGTAACATGTTGAATGGAATTAATGCCATATGATTTTTTACCCTCTCAATTAATCTCTATTCTCTCTAAACTTGATCTTCCCCAATCCTCTAATTTCACCAAAATTATCCATCATCTCCATTGATTCACATACAAGGTTTTGTGCTTGTTCTAACATTTGGCATCAAGAGCATTGGTTATTGATCCCAATCCGCTGCAACACCAACAATGGCTACCGTTTCCAATGATCGAATTCCCACCAATCTCCCAATTCTTGATTCGAAGAACTACGACAAATGGGCGAAACAAATGAAGGTTCTGTTTGGTTATCAAGAGGTTCTTGAGATCGTCATTAATGGAGTTACACCATTAGGGGCAGATGCTACCGATGCTCGTAGGGCTACACACAAGGAAGAAAAGAAAAAAGATTACAAAGCCCTATTCTTGATTCACTCTTGTGTTGATAACGACAATTTCGAGAAGGTTGGTGATTGTGAATCCGCGAAGCAAGCATGGGAAATCTTGGAGAAAGCGTATGTCGGTGCCGTCAAAGCGAAGGTGGTAAGGTTACAAACTTACAAACGTCAATTCGAGTTAACGCAAATGGAGGACAAAGAAACGATCAACAATTACATAACGCGCATTACCCGGTTAGTCAACCAAATCAAGTCATGTGGCGAAACGATCCTTGAGCAGAATGTTGTATCGAAAGTGTTGCGTTCGTTAACATCACGTTTCGATAACATTGTTGTGGCTATTGAGGAGTCAAAGGATCTAACAACTTTGAGTAAAGATGAGTTGCAAAGTTCGTTAGAGGCGCATGAACAAAGGATGGATGAGAGAAGTGCCGACAAAGCCAAAGCGGAGATCGCTTTGCAAGCGCGTTTACATGAGAAGAACAAGAGATCGAAAGGGAAGTGGACTTCAAAAAATAAGAAGAATTTTGGTGGAAAAGATCCACAAAATTCAAAGGGTGAAGGAAGCTCCAAAGATGGTAATCAAAGCGCCCACAAACCGTTTGACAAAAGTTATGTGAAGTGTTATAATTGTCAAAAGCTTGGGCATTTTGCGAAAGAATGTCGCTCAAAACGCAAGGAAAAGGATGCGGATGAGGCGAAGGTTGCTAGGGAAGAGGTAGATGATGAAGATACCCTTCTTGTGATGATTACGGAAGAGAATTATGGCATTGTTGATGTTCCGGGCAGCAGCTACTGTGATGATAGTGTGTGGGACAGCAGCTGTACTGTTTTGGAAAGTGGCGAAAAAATGTGTTCGGATCGAAATGCATTAGTTACCGTGCTTGAGGGAGTCCAAATTAAAGATGAATGGTACTTGGATTCCGGTTGTTCAACACATATGACGGGTCGAAAGGATTGGTTTGTGCAAATCAATCAAGCGACAAAGAGTAAAGTCAAGTTTGCCGACGACACTACTTTAAGCGCCGAAGGGGTAGGAGATGTTTTGATCGGAAGAAAGAATGGTGGACACTCTAGGATCAAAGATGTCTTGTACATACCGGGAATTAAGTGCAATCTTTTAAGCATTGGCCAATTGCTTGAAAGAGGGTACTTAATTCGATTGGAGAATAAGATGTTACGCGTTTTAGATTCAAATGGTGTGTTGATTCTAAAAGCACCGATGGCTGCCAACAGAACTTTTAAGGTTGAGTTAAATGTTATGGAGCATCGTTGTTTAGCTACCGCGGCAAGTAGAGAGGAGTGGCTATGGCATTACCGTCTTGGTCACCTTAACTTTAGGGATCTTAAGATGTTGCAACAAAGTGGAATGGTAACGGGGCTGCCACATATTAGTGTTCCGACAGAATTGTGTGAGGAATGTGTCACATCTAAGCAACACAAGAAGGTGTTTAGCAAGGATGCGGGTCGGAGAGCCAAAGACTTACTTGAGGTGGTGTATTCCGATGTTTGTGGACCAATGCAAGTAGAGACATATGGCGGCAATCGATATTTTGTTACGTTTATTGACGATTTTAGTAGGAAGCTTTGGACTTATCTTATCAAGAGAAAGGATGAGGTATTTGGAGTGTTCAAGAGTTTCAAATCCATGGTGGAGCGTCAAAGCGGCCAGAAGCTCAAAATTCTCAAAACGGATGGTGGAGGTGAATATACCTCTAGTGAATTTGGGAAGTTTTGTGATCTTGAGGGTATTGTGCGTGAGGTGGTGCCTCCATATACGCCTCAACAAAACGGGGCTGCCGAGAGGAAAAATCGTACAATAATGAACATGGTGCGTAGCATGCTTTGTGGGAAGAAGTTACCTAAAGAATTGTGGGGTGAGGCCGTATCTACAGCCACCTACTTGTTGAATAGGTGTCCTACTAAGAAGCTGGAGAAAATCACACCGGAAGAGGTTTGGAGTGGTTTCAAACCGAGTGTGGTTCATTTGCGTGTTTTTGGATCGATTGCATATCGTCATGTACCAAATCAACTTAGAAAGAAGTTGGATGATAAAGGTGAGAAGTTGATATTTGTTGGATATCACTCTACTGGTGGTTACAAGCTGTTTGATGAGAAGAATCGGAAGATCGTGATAAGCCGGGACGTGACTTTTGATGAAATCAAAAGTGCAGAAACAGCAGCAGAAAATCAGCAGCAGCAGTTTTTTGAAATCTCTGATCCGGAGTTGTCTGATGCCGCTGTACCAGCACCTACAGCAGCTGAAAACAATGTTGTGAATGAGGGTAGACCAACAAGGCATAGAGGTATGCCTCAAAGACTCCGAGATTGTGAACTGTTCCGAGATAGTGAGATCAACAATGATGGTGATCTTATTCATTTCGCTTTAATGGCCGAATCCGAACCGGTAAATACGGAGGAGGCATTAAGCGATCCAAAATGGATGTGTGCAATGAAGGAAGAGTTGAAATTGATTGAGAAGAACAATACTTGGGTGTTGGTTGATTTACCGAAAGGTAAAAGGGCGATTGGTGTGAAATGGGTTTACAAAGTAAAAGCAAATCCGAAAGGCGAGATAATCAAGCATAAGGCTCGATTGGTAGCAAAGGGATTTTTACAAAAAGGAGGCATAGACTTTGATGAGGTATTCGCACCGGTTGCAAGGCATGAAACCATCCGGTTAGTTGTTGCGATTGCAAATAACAACAGCTGGTCGTTATATCAAATGGACGTCAAATCGGCGTTTTTGAATGGTCCATTGGATGAGGAAGTGTATGTTGGACAGCCACCTGGTTTTGTGATACAAAATCAAGAGGAAAGGGTCTACAAATTAAGGAAGGCACTCTATGGTTTGAAACAAGCTCCAAGAGCTTGGAACAAACGCAT